ATAAAACTGTTACCATCTAAAAATCTACAAGGACCAACCTCTTAAAAGGAAACAGGAGAAACTAGAAACTTGGGAGAAGCGTAAGTTGAAAATAGGAGGGATTTAACTACTTTGATTATATTCAAGGTGAAACTTTTTAGACAAGAAAATATCACATAAAAACTCAGCGTTACAAACTAAAGAGGAGACTGTTAAATAGAAAATCATACCTCACATAACATGAATAGCCGAAAAATACTTTGTGATAAAAATCTTTTAAAAATAATTTAAGTATAATAACAGAAAATATATAAAACGCAAAGATTAAATAGCTTAATAAATCAATTTTTGCCACGTAACTGCATTTTGTTTGCGTTCGTACTCAATTATTTGCTCACATGCATAATTTTATAATTTGATATAATATAAAGAATTATTTCCAAAATGGAGTAACGGAATCCACTAGGCAATTTTATTTTAAAAAGTTTTTTTAAATAAAATATTTCAGATATTCATCAGAGATAATCCTTTGTTAAACTGCATTATGATTGCAAAAAAAATTATTATTACCATACCAATTTAATTAGAGTGCATACTTTTGTTCTTTTGAGACGATTTTTAAGAAATTAAATACAAAAATTATTACTTATCGTCGGCACCGTGTTACAGCAACGAATCTGAGCCTGTTTACCTTTGCACATTCCTTAATTTAACATGGTGGCGAGGATAGGCTATCGGCAATCCATAAAAATTATGATATTTTGTATAATAAAATTTTAAAATCTTAAATGTTATCTGATAAACAATTAAAATTAAGGGTCTAATTAAAACAAAATTAAGTATTAGTATTAAAAATTATACTGTTTACCTAGGTAACAAAAAATGCTCCGAAATATCATTGAAATTGGTTTTAAATGATCTTTCATAAAAAGAGTCATCAGAAATCGAATGATAAGGTGAGAATAATAAAAAAAAATTACGATTACTATTCTTTAAATAAGGAAGTATACTGGGATTGTATTATTCAATAATATTTACCTACTTCCATCAATTTTTTTTCTTGATCTAATATAAAATCACAAGTATTCAATAGCAGATCCAGGATTTAAATTTTTTGGGAGACTTCAGCCCAAAAGCTTTTTTTTTGATAAAAATAACGATTACTTTAAAATTACTTTGGAAAAAAAGAAAGAAACTAACTACATATATGAAATGGTGTTAAAGTGATTCCTAAAGTCCTTTTGAATGTAATTACACGAACAATAATACTTTAAGAGAAAATTTTTTAATATTTTTTTCCATAAAACATGGTTATATTTTACCATTTGGGGGAAAGAGGAGGGGCTTAGGCCCCAAAGTAACCCGTAGGTCCGCCCATGCAAGTATACATTAACTGCTTGTATTTTTTATTTTATCAAATTGTATAACAGGAAATAAAATCAGTTGTAACCAATAGAATGACAAAGTTTCATCATTATTGAGAAACATGCATTTTTCATAATAAATAGAAATAAACTAACGTAAGCTAACCAAAATCAACGCTTCATTACATGGATTACATGTTATGAAAAAAAAAGAATATATATATATATATATATATATATATATATATATATATATATATATATATATATATATACATACATAACCTATAACAGCATAAGATAAAAAAAAATTATATGAAAATCAAGGGCAGGGATTTATTTTTGATTTTTTTTAATGCAAAAAATAATGACAGTTACCGGTTTATTTACTAACTGAAGCAGATAAAGAACAATACGAACTGAGTATATATTTGTCATCACAGTAGGTCAAAGGCGCTTCTATTGTTTCACAATAGCAATGACATAATCGTCACTTTCGACTGAGTTTAGCTGCAAGGAAGTACCATGGCTTCTCTGCATAAAATAATAGAAAATATATTTAAATAGTAAAAAAAAAAAAAGAAAAGAATTATTGCCATAATTATATATTTGCATGCAATGTGTATTAATTAAATTAATAATTTTGCTAAAAGATATTATATCGGATTCTTAATCCATATAGGTGAAAGAATATTTTATAGAAATGTATATTTTTTTTCAGGAACTTATAATTAATTAAAACTATTAAAAAGCTAAAATCCAATAATAAATGACTGGAATTTATGAATTTTCTAGAACAATCTGAAAGCATATGAGTATTTATAGATATAGGTATTTATTTTAACGTTCATTTGATTAATATCATTTATAGAAGGAGAAAACCGTTTTACACACAACACACACACACACAGAACTAAGCAATTAAAATAAATTTTAATATTAAAGGGAGAAATAATATTCGGTGCAATTAAAGAAATCATAAAACAATAAGAAAACCATCCACCAGGGGTATCCCGAAATGGGTTGAATGATAGAAGTTGCACCATTAAAATTTTGAAAAGGGCACATCTTTACGGGTTTCCGAATTTGTGATGTGGACACATTATGAAGGGCTTATTAATTTTGGATGGGAACGATATGTGAGGTGAACTTTCAAACAAAGGGAAAAAAAGCAATATATATATATTACAGGCTGTATGATAGTATATAATTATTCATATGAATTAAAAAAAAAAAGAAGGAATATAACAATACATTCACTACTATAACAGAAAAATTAAACAGAATAAATATTTATTATATAAATGGAAAAAATATACGTACGTTTTTTTCTATACATATATTATTAATTCGGTATGTATGGCTTCTTTCTTGAAAGAAAAAAAAAACGTAAAAGTTGTAGTAAATTTCAAGAAAATGGTTTTTCATCCCCCGAAATTGAGTATGAGGATTGAAAGTTTATATGTTAACTGAGGTGATGTTAGAAAAATGCCCCTCTCCATCCGTTATTCAAATTAATTAAATTCGGATAATAATTGAGAAATATTCAATAACAAAGAATAAGAAAGAAATTTTCAACTGATTTTTCTAAATTGTTTTTTATGGTAAATCGAATAAGTAACAGACTAACGTTTTCCTAAATTATAAGAACTATTGATTGGACAATTTTGTTCAGGGAAGTAAAGAGGGAATCTTGAATTTCGTTTGGTAGGATTAACTTTCATACCTCAGAGAGAATCCATTATAATACATATTTCTCATGACCTTCTGGGAAACGCGAAGAATTTATTCAGGAAGTAATGTCACGTTATATATTCCTAATACTAAGAGTTGAAGTGCTGAAGATTTTAGATTTATTATCAATGCAAAACTTAGCAGATTATAATGACAACATCTGAAAGAAGATAAATGTTTTAGAAGTTTCCGTGAAGAATTTAAATGAGCGAGAAAAACAACCAAGATTGATTGGAAATATTCAACTACATCTACAGGAAATGGTAAACTGCAAACGCGGCCCTATCTTCGTAACTACACGCATCCCCGTATAAGGAAATGGAAAGGTGATACAGCCTAGATAATTCGTTCAAAACAAATTCTCTCCATATCTAGATCCCCTTTCCTGTCAAAATAAAAACACACGGCTGTGCTGCGAATGGGGATACGGCAATGAGAAACTTTCCAAGTGAATGGTAGGACAGGACCTACCGCCAAAACCGGACATGATTTAACATTCCGTCGAAAGGGAGAGAGAGGAGATCCAATTTCAAGTCGCATAGGACTTTGGACAACTTCGCTGTTACCACAATAATAACTAGGCTTAACTTTCTAGCTCTCCAAACGATATGTCCAGATAAAGGTATCTGAACGCTGATCGGATCTCAATAATCAACATGACACCAAATCTGGACAACTCAGATTCATGATAGATCCTCTCATAGATCGTTCATTGAATGAAACTATCAAAACATGAATGGAAAAATCACCCTTGACAGCAGACAGCATTTATACCATTCTTCGTTCTAAGACTAAAATTATTTTAAAATAAAGTTAAATTTTGCAAATTGAATTATCAAAGATTTGGAGGCCTATAGGTGAGATGAATGGATTACAAGGCATGAAATAATCATGAAAAAATTAGTATTCTGTTCTCTAATGTTTTCCTCGATTTTCAAAGATAGCATTTTCTGATTTAAAAAATAATATTAAGAAGAATATTTCCTGTACATTTCTTAATGTCTTTAGTGAATACTTTTAATTTAATATTACATGTGTGAACAATGAAACACAATGGAAGGTCGTGAGAAAAAAGTAATATTTTTGTATGGGTTTCAGGATATTACAATTAATAATTATTAAAATGTAAATCCTTTCATAATTACCTGAAACAGAGGAGGGTCTTATGCAGATTAGCACAGCCAGTTATTTTTAAACAGGAAAAGTATCTGTTATATAAAAGTATCAGTGTTGTTATTCTTCTATTATTTAAGCATCTGTTAACAAATTATGCATCCAGCGTATAGATAGCTTTAAGTAAAGCGGAAAATGTGAATTCATAATTCTATATTATAGGATTAATTAGATCAATCGACAAAGAAAAGTTTCTACCTTCGTGTGTAAACAACATCTGACTGTAAACCAAGATGTACTATCCCAGAAAATCTTAAGCACTCCTATTTCTTCCAAAGGTTCAGATCTGGAGACGAGCCGACCTCATGATAACGACTAAGAAATTACCGGATAAAAAAGTAGTGGCGGTCACGATAACCGAAATTACCTAATACTTAGGAGGGAGGAGATGTAGTTAGGAAAAATATGGCGGCATCTTTCCTTCAGAAGGATGTCGAGCCTTAGATATTGTGAAAGGTATAAACTGTAAAATGTCGATTCGTGTAAAATCAGAGCGTTTAGGAGATGGGATTTATACCATCTGAAATCCGTACAGGAGCGAAAGGATACCAACACGCTCTGAATAATCCATACAAACACGCTACTTTACATTAAGAATACGAGCACTTAACGACAAGATATTACGATCCTTAGCAAATCGACCTCTAAATCACATGCTAATAGGCCCACTGACAGGAAGGCATATCTCAAACAATATGAATCAAAAAGTGGAAAAGTGAAATTGGTTGACCTTTACACCTCTAGCTGAATATGTATCGGCACGAGTTTCGTTGCACTAGAAACCTTGGGAGAAAACAAACGTCTGTGTCGGTGTCAACTGAACTGTCGGTTGCTGTCATCAGATCTCAGCGAGAAATCACTGCAATTATAGCTGGTACTAGACTTATAAATCGCTTCTATGAAGTAGGGCGTCTGCAAGCCTCTATGTCTAGTTTCTTCATCACAGTCGTCCAGCTTCACTCGGATCGCAATCCCAATGAGCTTTTATCTGATCCATTGATGTGTGGATGAGATAGTGCAAAGCTGTCCGGCACGAAGATATCGATATAGAGTAGGAGAAAGAGAAATGAGAAATCTTCCAGTTGTTCCAAATATGGAAAACTTATACAACGCAGGTATGAGTTACCACTCAAACACTATATTACCACATAACGCTACGGTTAATGCAAAAGGTAAACATTTTCAATTTTTATTATGTATGTGCTAAATGTTACATTTTGTAATCTACAGCTGGGAGAAATAAAATATGAAATTATACCAGTGTATCGTAAAGAAATAATCAGTTTTTAATGCTCTCCTGTAAAACACTAATTTTTTACATACGATATTTTGCATAGCAGTAATAACAGTAACGATAATAATATTGGACCGCTACCCGCTTGGGCAAATGCGAAATTTAATAAAATAAATAATTGAATAAGTGGAGGGATTATTAAATTCAAAATTAGACATAACATATTCTATTAAAAAAACATAAGCTTTAAAAACAAATCAACAAATGAAATCCTCTACAATTAAGCTGTTCCATTAACACCATAGTTTTCATCATGAGGTAAAATATTGAAAGCCGCAATTTTAATTTTCAAAATTAAGTAATTCAATCCAATTTAATTCTTTAAAAAGTAAAACTAAAATATTATAAACAATGATTTGTCCAAAAACCCAAGTTTTAAACCATACATACAACTATATAACTACCTAACAATATTTTAAATGATACCTTTTTCTCTCTTTTTTGGGAACATCAAAGAATTTTTTTAAAAATCCATAAATTTCAACAGAATTTTTAACTGGGCAGGTATTGCCCATGGATTGATTCTTTTAATTCTAAATAAAATTTGAAGGAAGTTTAAATAACGACTCCAGGAAAAGAAAGTTGGACATGACAAGTCAAAAAAAAAAAAAAAAGAAGAAGTATAATAAGAAATATAGTAAGAAATAACATTAGAAATATTTATTATTTACAAATAATATCCCACTTAAGAACAATAATGAATCACAAAAACTTCACAATTATTAAAATATTTTTAACAGCGTAGGTATAATTCATTTCTTCCATTCTATATATTTGTTATAATTATTTTTTCTTTATTTTTTAGCTGAGAAGTGATTATTTTGTTTCATTATCATTGAATGTTATACAGTTTAAATTGTATATAGTTCCATTAGTTTGTTTTAATATATTTTGTTAAATTACATAATGTTTTCTATTTATTTAACGTAACTTTCTTATTAAATGCAGTTTCTTACATAAATAATTCTTTTGTTCTGTAACTTTATGTTAATCTTAAGGGACTCCTTCCCAGACTAAAGTTTATTTTCTATTTCTATTTCTATATATTTTTGCTCCAGAAAAAGAAAGTTAGATATGACGGGCAAATAAAAAATATATATAATAAAATTATGAATAGTAAATGTTTACATAATCTCGCTTAGGATGTATAATAAATCCAAAAAATAAAAATAAATCGCTTAAAGTGGTTCAAGCGCTCACTATTGTCGTGTTCTTTAATTGTACAGTAAAATATAATTTAAAACTCTGTTCTTGACGAATTTTAACTAAAAGATTTATCTTTTTAATTGTATGAAAAACAATTCAATGGCTAAAAGCAGATTGCTTAGAAACATATAGTAACGACAACAATAGGATCAATATTTTTTTTTAATTTTATATATTAAGCATAAGCAACCTAAGTCTTAATAAATACCGAAATATTTAAATCATAGTGCTAAAATGATTCGATATTTCAAGCATCGCCTAAATAATTACAAGAATTTAATAGCACAGAAACAATTAATGGAAAACAGACTATATCGATTAATAGCTTCGGATAGAGAGCTATGCTAATTAGATGGTGACAGTTGCAGTCTGCAGAGAAGGTACCTTGCAATTCTCTCCAAGGTGAGAGGAATTCCTTACGTGACTATCGCTTTTCCACAGAGTTCTTGCATACTTAATGTCTTCCCAGTAATCCTCTCGAGAAGATTCTTTCAGGAATCTAGGGATAGTGCCAAGTAGTAAAAAAAACAACAACAGCGAAATAGACGAAAGGTATAACCATAAAATATCCTATGGTTTGTACCAGAAAACTGAGCCTTACAAATGTCAATATTTCAGTTCTACCACAGGGTGACTAACAGATAGCCAAAGTAAAATTCCTTAATTTTCCTTGAAATTTTTCTATGTAATGATAGTTACACTGACCAATACATCTGGAGACACAAATATTAAAAATGTATAATTTATAATTAAATTTATTTCTTATACATAAAAGATAATTGACTACAAACCGATTAGAATAAAAAAAATCACTCATTTAAATTACAAATATAATGTTTTAGAGGAAGCGTTTTTTAAGCTCGATTAGGATTTTTTAAAATAAATAAGTATTTCCATTATTATTTTAAAATAAAGTATTTAATTAATCAAATATTTTTGTGTTTTTAAACAAAGTCTATTTTAATTACCAAGTGTTTAAATTATTATCAGTAAATGTATTACAAATATTAAAAGCATTATGTTTTTGATAACAAAAAAATCAGCTCATGAAAAGATGCTTTACAACTAACCCTTTATTAAATAGGTTAATTCTGAATAATTATATACTTCTTAAATAATTAATTGAGAATAAATAATTTTAATCAACCAATATTATATCTCAATTTTCGAAAAGTTTGTGCTTCAAAGTTCTAGTTACAATACCCAAATGGAAAAATTAAAAATGAGAACAACCATAAAAGAAATCCTGCAGGATGGCGAAAATAAAATGGGAAAACTGTTTAAATATTTTTAAAAACGATAATTCTATATACAGAATATAACAAACCCGAATGACCCTTAGGGGTAAAGACGAAGTAAATAAATACAAATATTTCCGAACAATATATAACAAAAGTGATGCTTAGTCAAAATATTTAATTTTGAATATTTACTCTGATTTTGATTATTACATAAATTTAATCCTTATGTTTTATTTGCTGAAAATTACTTTGAAATATAATCGTACGGGAGAAAAAGGAATATTTTTTTCGGTCCAACTAACTATTAACAACTAAACATTTGTCGGTCCAGCTTCACAATTAATCCTCTATCCTTTTCTACGAAAGGACCCTGGAGACCTGATTATTCTTTTTACGGATACTCAAGTTTATAGACAAAGGAAATAATTGTAATAGTATTACAAACTTAACACAAGCAACCTTAAAAATCTTCTAAGCCTCATTTTTACTGGAGAGAATCACCGTGCAAACGATATAACCAACAACAGTAATTAGAGAAATCTACACAAATCTGTAATTTAATTTGAATATTTAAAATAAAGAATACTGTTAATTAACAAAAAGGAAATACAGTTACTAACAATGTATTTTATAATTTACTTCTTAAATCATCTAAAATATTATTATACTACTTATATGCAAAATAAATTTTTAAATGTACTTTATTTTGTATTTTAAAATATTTCATTCCAAATACTACTAAGGTATGTGTTCGACAAGCACATAGGTATTTAACTCTTAAACATGTACAGTTCAGGTGTGAAACCAGCTGATTATGAGCTTTCCCTACGTACGCCACGAAGCAAGCGAGGTAAAAATAATAATCCTAGCTAATTAATAATTAATAATCATTAAGATGAAGCTAAGGAACAAGGCGCCCTGCCGGATAAAAAGGTGTCGTAACTGAATCGGTTAATTGTGTATTGTTTTCAAAATAATACGTGTGATATATCTTCCTAACATGAGAAAATTAATATTTAGAAATAAACAAGCTAATAAAAGAATGAATCATGATGAAATTCAAAGACAATGGACAGCAAAAATATCAATAATAAATTTTCAATCGTTATTTTAATAATTCATGAATAGTAAAAATCACCCTTTTTCGCTCCCTAAGCGACAGATAAATAAACAAATAAAAGAAAAATGGGTGAAGTATTGAGGAAATTACATGTATAATGTACCTGTAACTAAATATTTTTCGGAAGATAAAAATATGTAATTTACTAAAAAATATACCTTAAGAAAAGTTGTTTCTGAGCGCTCAAAGGTTTTGGAATTCAGTGTTAAAGTGATAAATTTCAAGCGGAAGAAAAATTCATTATTTTGAACTTGAAAAGTCACGCTGATGTAATTCTTTAAGTTGAAATATTTTGTATGTTATAAATTTTTTTTTAATAATAATATTGTAAAGCAACAAATCCTAAACAACGATGAAGTTGACATTTAGAGTTTAAAAAACTTCAAGCAAAGAAAAATACTCTTTCTTCTAAATATCATTAATTAAATAGGTATAGAAAAAAATTTGAGTAAACTTTGATTTTAAAATTTTAAGGAATAAGTGATCATCAGATCATCAAAATAAGAAATATAAAAAAATAACAAAGGATACAATGAAAAGGATCGTTAAAACCCCGCTTTCTTTCCGATCTTCAGGAAAATGATAGCGTCACAATAGGTCAGAGATGAATTTTATCAAGTAACATTATTGTTATGTTGAGGTTATTGACAATATTACTTGCGCCTAAAATCTAACCCACGCTTAAGAATTGACATAATTAATAATTATTGATAATTTACAAAATAAAAAAAAAATAAGTTAATCCCAATTTCAGATGTATTTTTCAGTCAGCATATAATAAAAAAAAACCTTTACTTTGGTGTAGGTCATTTTATTTTATTAATTGTTACTATTTCATTCATATTGACTTACATAAATATATTATTTAACGTATTTTGTGTCAATTAGAAAACCACTAACTAAAAAAATTACACATTTTTTATAAACCATTTTTTGTTTTATTTTAACTTTACTTTAAAGTAAATAAATACTTGGACCACTAATACTAACTGATCTTCAGTAACGCAGCTTATAATTATTTATGCAATATTTTCTTCACTTCACAAAAGAAGTTAGTGATTCAATGTTGTCATTGCAGTTGTTCAGTAAATAAATAATCTATTGAACTCTACAGGCCAAAAATTGGCCGATAATTTGTTTATTCAGATAC